GGAACTGCTGCTTTTTCTTTCCTAATCTTTACTATCGTCATTTTACCTCTACTTCTTGCGTATGTTTGTCACTCTCTTGTGACCCGTTGTTTCCAGGGCGCCTTGATAGTCGAAGCAGACTTTGTGCTGTTGAAGCTAAAGAGGTGAGAAGAGTAAGTCTCTGGACATCAACCCCTTGGCGCTCATATGACCTTATGCTGTTGCGAGCTCCTTAAAACCTTTCATCATCATCATTTGATGCCTTGCCGACTGGCGTGGGCGATCATGGACCTCCACTTTAATCTGTCTTGCGTTGCAGCAATGGTGTATGTTGTTCTTGCTGCTCCTTGCCATGTTGTCCTCTTGTCCGTTATCTTTTCCCTCTGTCTGCCTCTGCTTCTCTTTCCTTCAAACTTGCCTTTACTAAAAGTTTAAAAACAATATGCTTGGGGTAGGGGGGGTGTTTGGTTTGAACATTGTCCGTTCTTGACCCTGCATTTTAATAGAAGTTTTGGTGTTTCACCGCTCACTTTGCTATGTCATATCGCTGTTGTACTGTAAATCGTAAATCCTCTTTCCTTTTTTGTTTTAGGGTAACGGTTTTCAGAGAGACATCAAAACCATACCCTCACTCTATCGTCACAAAGTGAAGGCTCCCAATATATACATGAAACTACGTGAATTGCTGCCAAGGACCTGTCTTCTTTTCAGAAGAAAGCATTACATCATAATATTTTTTTCTTCCGCTCATACATCTTAATGGGAATATTCCAATCGGGACTGTGAGGGGAACATGTGAATCATATTGGTTTCCGCTGCATGTCTCAAGAGGATTGAGATGGTGATTGAAAGATCTGGAGGGTCAAGGAAATCGTTATGAAGTTCTTTGGGCGTTTTTTAGGAGATGATGTATTACTTTTAATAAACACTTTAACTTTAACGCCCCTGTGAAGAATGGAGAACGTTCCGAATGGAGAAATAATTTTACCCTCTTGGCGTCAAAGCAAGGCTATAAAATCTGGCAGCCTGTTCGGTATGCAGAAAGTATGGTGGGAAAAATAATTTAGGGGTTGCTGTTGTCAGTTTGGACCTCTTTCGTTCTCAGCAATGGCCGTGAAACCTGTGGAATAGAAGTCGCCCTGTAATACGCCCTAATCCAGTTATCAGGACGCCGCGCAGGGGCTGTCTTTTTTCTCTCTTTAATTCTTGGGAGAAAATTCGGCCAAAGCTGTCCTTCCATGCAGGAAGGGGTTGTTCTTTGAAAAAGTGCACACAGCTCTCTTTTCTGACGATCTGGTGAAAAGAGGGCAGTGAGGGAATTGTGTGGGTGGGTGAGGGAGGGGGTGGTTGTTTGTGTGTGTGTGTGTGTGTGTGTGTGTGTGCGCGTATGTGTGTGTGTGTGTGTGTGTG